CCCTACGCCCACGTGCTCACCCCCCCCAAGTTCTTGAGCACCTGCTCGGCCCCGCCCTCTCCCGCGCCCAAGTGTCCCGCCCGGCCCACGCCCACGTGCTCGCACCTGCTAGGTCCCGCCCTCTCGGTGCCCACCTGACACCTGCTCGGCCTCGCCCGCGCTCATTTTTCTCGGTGGAGTGTGGAGCCCCTAACCTGGCGTGAAGGATGGCTACGTGGGCGGCAGTTGCTGAGGCAGAGAGCAGCGCGGCCTGGGCAGGGGGCGGGGTAGGGCGCCGGCACCCACTAGCCCGCCCTCGGAGGGAGCGTCCCGGTGCAGCGTCAGGAGAGGGAGTGAGGGCTGAGAGGAAAGAGGGGCGCCCTGGGCCACGCGCGGGGCGACCCTAGCGGCCCCAGGACTCGTTAGTCCTGGGCACTCTCTGAGCTTCCCTTGGATGCCGGCCGGGGCGCGGCGGGCGGATTTGGGAGGCTAGATGGAACCTTCCACAGGCACGGGCGGCCCGCAGGAGCCGTGCGAAGGATTGCTGGGGTCGTGGACGCGGACGGGCTTTGGCCGACGGGTATGGTGGGAGGGGCTACCCGGGCAGGCAATGGGGAGGGGCTTGGTGCCGCCCTGGGTCACCCTGGGTAAGGGAGGAGAATGAGTGCCTTGTCCTCCTTGTCGTCCGGACCTAGCTGCCGCTGCGCTTCATGGGTTCCCCTGGCGGGGGGGCGGGGACAGCGTGGGTGACTGCCGTGGGTGGTCCGGGGTTTGCAGGGGTCCCCTGCGCTGCCGTCCCTGCTGCCCTTGCGTCTGGCTCCCCGCACTGATGGGGTGGCGGAAGGGCAGCAAACAGAAGACTGGTCTTTCTGGGGCATCGTCCTGGGCAGAGGGCAGGTACCAGGAGGTACCTGCCTCGGCTGTGACCCCACCCAGGCCAGGGCACCCATGATCTACGAGCCGCTTCCCAGGTCTTTACTGGGCACCCCTCTGAACAGTCAGCTTCTCGATCTGCACTGTCGGGCTCCAGCTCCTCCCCACCCACTCCCCACCCCAGGGTGCTGCCTGCACTCAGCAGGGGCTCCGTGTGTATGCGCAGAGAAGGCACAAAAAGGGGGTCCCCGCCTGTACCAGGCACTATGGGGACTCCTGGAATCGCTCAAGATACAAAATAGGCAGAGGGCTGGGAGGAGGGGAGAATTCACCTCTGCAGGATCGGGGGGTGGGGGTGGGGGAGGAGGGCAGACCAGCAGGGCGGGTGCTGGCGCGCACACACACAGCAGGCATTCAGTCAATACTTTCTGAATCAATGTGAATGAACAGTGTCTGCAGGTGTACCTCCCGGATCAGTAGGGGAAAGATGGACTTTTAGTAAGTGGTGTTGGTGCAATGGTTAAGTGCTCACCTGCTAACTGAAAGGTTGTCGGTGTGAATCCACCCAGCAGCTTCGTGGATTCTAGCTCCCGTAAAGATTACAGCCAAGAAAATCCTATGGGTCGGTTCTATTCTGTTACATGGGGTCTCTATGAGTCGGCATCAACTCAACAGCACCCAGCAATGAGTTGGGATAATCAAAGAACCATATAGAAAAAAGGAATTGGTTCCATTCCTCACATCACGCACAACAACACATTTCAAATGGATCAGAGGCTTAAATGTGAAAACGGAACTGAAGCTGTGCCGATACTGTAGGAAAGAATGGGCAGGTTCCCTGGAAGCAGCCCCCAACTGTGTCTTGAAATCCAGAAGCAACAGATAAAACTAAAAATAATAATTAAAAAAACACCATTGTTATTAGCTGCTGTCCAGCTGGCTCTGACTCACGGCGACCTTATGTACAACAGAGACAAAGCGTTGCCTCGTCCTGCGTCATCTTCACCATTGTCGGTATGTTTAAGCCCATTACTGTGGCTATTGTGTCACTCCGTCTCATGGAGGGTTCCCCTCGTTTTCGCTGACCCTCTACTTTACCAGCCACGAAGCCCTTTTCTGGTGATCAGTCTTTCTGGATGACGTGTCCAAAGTAAGCGAGATGGACTCTCACCATCCTTGCTTGTAAGTAGAGTTGTGGCTGTATTTCTTCTAAGACTGATTTGTTCATTCTGGCAGTCCGTGGTATATTCTGTATTCTCCTCCAACACCACAATTCAAATGCATCCAAAACACCATTGTTGCTGTTGTTAGGTGCTGTCGTGGGTTCCGACTCACAGCGACCCCACGTACAACAGAACAGAACACTGCCAGGTCCTGTGCCATCCTCACAATCATTGTTATGCTTGAGCTCATTGTTGCAGCCACTATGTCAACCCATCTCATTGAGGGTCTTCTTTTTTGCTGACCCTCTACTTTACCGAGTATGATGTCCTTCTCCAAACACCATTAGCAAAGTGTCAAGGGCAAGTGAGCACGTGCATAAAGGATTTTGCAGCTTGCATCATAGATGAGGATGAATATCACTGAAATACCAGGAGTGTCTAAGAATGGGAAGAAAATGGCAGACACCCTTTGGGAAAGCAGGCAAGACAGGTGAACAGTTCACAGGAAGAGGGCATGGTGACCTTTGTACTTGTGAATGAATGCTTGACCTCACTTGCTAATTAGAAGTACACTTGACTGCACTTGTCGCTCATCTGATTGGCAACAAGCAGCCCAGGAGCTGACCGTACCTGTGGGCAAGGCCGTGGGTAGGCAGATGTCCCCACACATCATGGAGGACAGGAGTTCTGGAAGTATTAACGAAGGTGCATGTACCATTTAACCCAGTAAGCCCGCTTTTAGGAACTAACCCAAAGATACATAGGAAAAACAAAAAGTTGCAGCAGAGTGGATTCCGACTGACGGTGACCCCACTTGTGTCAGAGTAGAACTGTGCTCCATTGGGTTTTCAGTGGCTGATTTTTTGGAAGTAGATCACCAGGCCTTTCTTCCGAGGCACCTCCGGGTGGACTCGAACCTCCGACCTTTCAGGTAGTGGCTGAGAACGTTAATCATCTGTACCACCCGGGGATTCTTTGGAAAAAATAGAAAAGGTTGTCTACACTAGGTATATTGGGTTCTTAGAGCTTCTGTAACAAAGTACCACAAACTAGGTGGTTTATAAGAACAGAAATGTATTCCCTCATGGTTCGGGGGGCTGGAAGTCTGAATGGAGGGTGTCAGCAGGGCCGCACTCCCTCGGGACGTCTTTTCTCGTCTCTCTCAGCTTCCGGCAACACTAGGTGCTCCCTGGTTTGTCGGTGCGTCTTCACATTCCATCCCTCCATGTCTCTGTGTCTCTTTATAGGTCACCACTCAGCTGGGATTAGGACCCACCCCCTCCAGTGCGACCTTATATTAACTGACAACCTCTTCAAAGACCCTATTGCCAAACAAGGTCACGTTCACAGGTACTAAGGGTTAGGGCTTCGGCGTATCTTTTGGGGACACGATTCAACCCATAGCACAAGGCTATTCATTGCAGCACTATCTGTATCAGCAAAAGACTAGAAATAACCCAAGCGCCCCTCAGCTGGTTGAATTACGCTCTGGTGCTGCCACACAGTGGACCCCGGTTACCACTATTATTACCGACATTTAAAGGGCAGGAAGACCCTGTCTTACTCACCTAGTGCTGCTATAACAGAAATACCACAAGGGGATGGCTTTAACAAAGAGAAATTTATTTCTTCACAGTAAAGTAGACTAAAGTCCAAATTCAGGGCATCTGCTCCAGGGGAAGGCTTTCTCTCTCTGTCAGCCTTCTCATCAATCCTCCCCCAGACTAGGAGCGTCTCTGCTCAGGGACCCCAGGTCTTAAAGGATGTGCTCTGCTCCTGGCACTGCTTTCTTGGTGGTATGAGGTCCCCTGTCTCTCTGCTCACTTCTCTCTCTTATATCTCAAGAGATTGCCTCAGGACACAATCCAATCTTGTAGATTGAGTCCTGCCTCACTAACACAACTGTCACCCATTCTCCCTCATTAACATCATAGAGGCAGGATTTACAACATAAGAAAATCACACAATACCAGGAATCATGGCCCAGCCAAACTGATACACACATTTTTTGGGGGACATTATTGAATCCATGACAGAACCCAAAGAATCATCTGGTTAGTAATAATACCAGTATTGCTATCTTGAGATTTTACATATATGTGTGTGTGTGTATGTATACATGTATATGTACGTAAGGCACCCTGGTGGCGCAGTGGTTAAGAGTTCGGCTGCTAACCAAAAGGTCAGTGGTTCAAACCTACCAGCCGTGTAGGAGAAAGATGTGGCAGTCTGCTTCCGTTAAGTTTACAGTCTTGGAAACCCTATGCGAGCAGTTCTACTCTGTCCCATAGGGTTTCTATGAGTCAGAATCAACTGGACAGCAATGGGCTTTATGGGATATGTATGTGTGCATATGTACATACACATATAAATGAAAAGAAATAGGTTAAAAAAAAAAAAAAGGTGCTGTCTCAGTTGATTCCAGGGCTTTGAACCAGTTAGTTCAGGTATGAACCCCTGCTAAGAATTTGCGTTTCTAACAAGTTCCCAGGCGAGGCTAATGCTGCTGGTTAGGGACCATATCCTGAGAACCACTAGCAGAGCAGTGAGTCAACATTTATTATACATAAGAATCACCTGGGGATCTCGTTAAACTGTAGATTCTGGTTCAGTGTATCTGGGGTGGAAATGCAAATTCACAGCTGGGGTTCTAACCAGAATGAACCAGTTTGAAGCCCTGGTTGATTCTGACTCATGGTAACCCCATTTTGATAATCATGTTAAATTCCTTAAAAACCAAGATTCTTAGTATAACAGAAAAGAGATACAAATATAAAACATAAAAGCACAAACCAATTCTTAAATTTGAATTGGAAATATTGGAATAAACTCAGCTGTTTTATCTTTAAACAAGCATCCCCTAGTTCTGTCCACTCAAGAGTTCCACAAGCAATGACAACCCAATAGGAATGTGCACCCTCCTGCCCAGATTGGGGTTTCTAAATACCACTTCCCTCTAAAAAGAACCGAGACTCCTTGGGGAAGTGGCTGACCCAGGTCTGAAGCAGGAACTATAAAAGGTGAATCTGGAAAGCCTTGTCATCACAGAAAACAGGGAAACCATCAAAAACTCCAGGGTCCCGTTAAAGGACACAGGAATTACTTGGAGGAGCTGGTCAACAATGGAACAATTCGGGCGTCAAAAGGAATTATGGAGTAAAACATGGCAAAATCTTAAAATCCATTCATCTGTCACAATACTTAAAAAAAAAAAAAACTTTCACTGGTCCTTGGTAGGTCGCCAGTACTCTGCAACCAAGTGAGAAGGGGAGAGAGCCCGTGTTTACCGTGCCTTTCCTGTCTGAACTCACCTTCAGGCCAAAGAGGCCGCATCTGCTGGAGACAGAGACGGAAGTACTCACTGATGAAAGCATACAATGCCCCATGGCCGGGAACGATGTCCCATGTCCGAGAATGATGTCCCATGTCCGGGGAGGGCTCTGACATAAGCCGCAGGGAGGGGTGGGGAGTCAGATGGAAATTAAAGGAGACCCCAGCCACAGTCATGGTGCTGTGCTTCTGACTTTGGGTAGAATAATAGTGATAATAATAGCGATAATAACAACTTGCCCCACCCCCCAGCATCTGGGGGACTTGTTGGAAGACCCCGTGTGCCTCAGGGCCTTGAGGAGGGACCAGCAAGTAAGAGAATGGGAGGAGGGCCTTTGGGGGGGTGATGCCAGGATCCAAGGTCAGGGGCTCCCCTTGTAGGACAAGTCCTGCCCTTGGCCTGGAATTTGACCCTGGGACCTGGGCTCACTCTCCGAGAGCAGTCAGTGGGATTGTCTGGCCTTTCCCAGGAACCGATGGATAACAGCGACCCTTCTAGAGGGGTCTGGGGGGCCCGGCCAGGGCTGGGCTGAGGAGAGGGCAGCACGCAGGACCACATGGCAGGGGGTGGCTGCTTTGGGGGACAGGAGCACTGAGGCCAGCATGGGTGCATGCAAGGAGGTCCAGCTCCTCTCTCCAGGCCCTGCTGCTGCCTCTACCTGGGCTGGCCAAGGCAACATGAGAGGGCCTGGGCACCTGGCCCCGAGGTGGGCAGGAGCCTGCTCTGGGCATCTGGGCCCCAAGAATGGAGGACACTCGAGGAGGTGGGAGGCTGGCCCAGAGGCTGACTGTGAACTCCCAGCAAGCTTGAAGGAGTTGAGGGAGGTGGAGGGGGCTGGGCAGGAGGGCTGAGAGGACGGAGTGTGATCAGGTGCCCAGATGAAAGGAGGGGGCCTGGGTGCTGGGGCTCCCCTAGGCTGGGACAGGCTCAGGGGGAGGGCCGGGTACCGAGGGTGGGGGCGGTGGTGGAGGCCAGCGTCTGCACAGAGGCAGGAACACAAGTGACCCTCATGCTATGGGGCAGCCCCGCGGGGCTCTGCTCCACGGTGGGTGGGCTGCTCTCTGGGCCAGTATGGGGTGAGGAGGGCTCCATGACGGGAGAAGCCTCTGCAGTGGGGAGGGGGGCAGAGCCTGGGGCAGGGTGGGGGGAGGAGGGCTCCATGATGGGAGGAGCCTCTGCAGTGGGGAGGAGGGCTGAGCCTGGGGCAGGGTGGGGGAAGGGGTGGAAGTTCAGGTCCCCTCTGGGCCGGGCCCTCCTGCAGAGCCACATACCACACTCATGTTCCTAGCCCAAGACCCAGCTTCCCGGGGACACCTGGTGGGTGAGGGGCAGAGCTCCCTTGCGGTGTAGGGGTCCACTCCCCCCAAGTGTAGGGGCAGTTCTCCCCGCTTGATGTAGGGACAGCCCTCGCCTGAGGTATAAGTGTGGCACTCCCCCCCCCAGGTGTAGGACAGCCCTCCCCTGAGGTGTAAGTGTGGCACTCCCCCCC